CTGGGTCAATTATGGGTAAGATGGATCACCTGTGGGACTTGGTATTGAGCTCAAGATGGTCCATACAGCAAAACTGTGCTTGTCCAAAGTCTTTTCCATGTAGTAACAATGACCCAGGCTGATAAACTCAGTAGCTGCTCATCTTGAGAGTCATGTGAAATGTGGGGCCTTGGATTCTTAAGAAAGATGATCCTTGGCCACCTGTGGCTTAGTGGTTAAAGCAGCTGAATCCCACAGTCAGCCTGTGGCCCAGTGGTTAAGGCAGCTGGAACCCACATGGTCAGTAGCACCCTTACAGTTCCAGATCCAGCAGCTTGAAAAAACATACCAGATATGTGTGTGTGCCCCCAAACCCCAAGAAGGACAGAAAGATGGAGGAGAAGGAATTGAAGCATGACCATGCCCTATAGGGGGTGAAAGGGGAGTGCTTTCTCTCTCCCTCTCTATCTCTCCCTCTCTCTCTCTCCCTCTCTCTCTCTTTCTGTCACTCTCTGGAGATTGCACACATTCCCTGACAAATTTTTGAAAAGAGAGAAAGAAAGAAAAAAGAAAGACAGAAAATCCTCAAACAATGCTGCTAAGGATCCTGAAAACAGTTGGGCAGGGCCTTCTGGGTGCTCCAGGGCTTTCCCTGCTCCTGCTCCCCACCCAGAAGGGAACACAGCCAGCTTCTAGCCTTCTCCTTGGGGGTGAGCAAGGCTACAAACAGCCTGCACATTCAGGCTGCCTAGGTGGGGACACTGACTGCCACAGAAGGCCCAGGGAAGGCTCCAGTTCCTAGGAGGGCAGATGGGTCTGGGGCTTATTGCTCGGGCACTTGGGCATGTGGGATCAGGAAGAACTAAGATGCCCTGTCCTACCCAGCAGCCTCTGGCCCGCCAAGAGGAGCAGATGCGCATGGTACGCCAGTTCCACTTCCACGGCTCCCCGCCGAGGGCAAAGGCATGATAGACCTCATTGCAGCCGTGCAGAAGCAGCAGCAGCAGACAGGCAACCACCCCATCACTGTGCACTGCAGGTGAGTGCGCCCCCTCCTGGTGGGGTGGACACAGGCCACACACCACAGGTACAGAGTAAGAAAGTTTGGATTCTATGCTCCCAACAACAGTATAGCCCTACACTGTGTTTTTTTACCATGCCTCACACACATACACACATGACTTTACATGAATGCATAGATGTCATCTTATACATGCAGAATGCATTTTGCAGGGAGGAGGGAAGAAACGACTTGAACACGTTTCTAATGTGCTTTTGAAACCAAACCAAGCTTTGGTTTCTCCAAAGCTTGGACAAACCACTCCTGTACTTCAAGATATTTGTCTGCTTTTTGAAAAATATTCATACTGCTCTGGCTCTGTGCACACAGTTCCCTGTTATTCCCCTTGAGTTTTGAGGAGATAAGCCAGTGTGGCTGAGCATCAGCACAGGGCGGTTTCCTGAGCCACATCAGGTGGGTCAGGCTGGGATTACTAAGGAAGGCCTGTTGCCTCTCAGCCTGGCTCCCAAGTGAGGCCCAAGGGTGGAAGGACACACATGGGGGTACATCTGGAGACAACTGAGCATCCCAGCAAGGACTTTAAGCCGCATAATGAGGGTAGGCGTATGACTCTGGCCGAATTGAGAGACCCACCAGCTCATCTTCCTGCTATACTACGTGGTTCTGGGTTCTGCCAAGATCCCACTGCAAACTCTGTCAAGCAGGAGTTGAGAGCGTTTTCATTCTTGGGCTGTGCTGATTTGCTTCCAAAGCTGCAATTGTTTCTTTCCCAACACATGCAGCCCCCAGCCACTACCCTCCTTCTTGCAGCCAACAGAACCTCAGTCTAATTTAGGTGGTTTGGGACTCTTGTTTTGGAACCTGCTTGAGTGCACTCCTGGCCTGGCCAGTAGGTGGAGCACATGCCTTGATTTTCAGTCTCAGTGCCTTTCCAGAGATTTTAAAAAATAAACGAGAATTAAGTCCTTTTCGTGTTTCGCCTCCACAAACCCAGGCTATGCGTTTAATGTAGGGCGCTAAGGATGCAAAAGTGAACAAGACTCCACAAAGGTATCCCACCTGTGGAAAGGCAGATGCAAGGACAAGTCATTGCAGCAAAGCAGGAGCCTTAGAATAAGTCCCCACATGAACTTCTGGGGCCCAGAGAGGGCAGCCTTGCCTCTCCAGAGGGTGCTGGAAGAGGCCAGCTAGTCCACCTCCTGAGTCCTGCTCACTCAGGCTTTCCTAAGGGGATTGGGCTCTACTCTTTGGGGCTCATCCAACTTATCCTATTAAGTGAGGCAGACTCAGGTTGTCATTGCTGAGAAACAATGATATGTTCCTGGCAGTAAATATCCTCTTTCTTAATATTCCTCCAATCCTACGTTCTGGTGTCACCTGTTCTAGAAGGTAGTCCTTGGCATAATAAAGAGAGTCTGTGCCAGCCTCTTCCCTAGACCAGAATTGGGAAGGTTTGCATTTCTAACCAGTTGCCAGGTGATGCTAGTACAGCTGGTCGCGGGACCACACTTGGAGAACTACTGGTCTACTCAAGGAAGAGGAAAAATGGTTACACTCACTAACTTAAAAACAAGTAACTGGGCATAAGCTATTCCCTGAAACGTTTGTCTACGAAAATGAGAAGCGTCCTTAAGAGTTTTAAGTTGATGAATCTCTCAGTAGCTAAGCAGCATGTAAATGATCATTCAAATCTAATCAAACTCTGATGGTTTTCAGTGATGGTTGCTCCAGTACTCCACACAGGAATTGGTTGTAAGCTGTTCACTCCTCATTGCCATGTGCGAGTCTGATCATCTGCATTAAGCATTTTCTCTCCGCAGTGCTGGAGCAGGGCGAACAGGTACATTCATAGCCCTCAGCAACATTTTGGAACGAGTAAAAGCTGAGGGACTTTTAGATGTATTTCAAGCTGTGAAGAGTTTACGACTTCAGAGACCACATATGGTGCAAACCCTGGTAAGAACCGGAATGATAAGGATGTTTCCAGAAGAGTGGAGAATTGTTTCATGTTGTATTTGATGTATGTTTCATTAAAGGAGCCCACACATCTGGGGGAGGTGGGAAGGTAAAATTCTCAAAGAAAAGAGTGAAGTGCAACTTTTCACAGTAAAGCTTTACAGACCACCTTCTGCTTTGGGGCTGACTCAGGTCTGTTGTCTGGGCAAGTCTCGGGGGGAAGGGCTTGTCTGTGAATGCCCATTACTAGGAGCCCTTTAGACGGAGGCACTGATGATCCACACTTCTGTGACTTTTACCAGACTCCAATGTACATTTTATCGTGTACTACATTAAGATCAAAAGCAGCACTGAAGTTTAAAATCCTGGTATTTGTCATTTTTAATTTTACACTATTCCATTTGATCCATTTTCTTTGGCCGGTCTTATTGAACCTCAAGACACTACGTAGGGTTTAAGGAATCCACCTAATGTACAATTGCCCTGTACATTCTCTTTCATGCTGTGAATGTGCACTTTCTGGTTTTTAGAAGAGATTCCCCCTCGCCCAATTCAGTAGTGACTTGTGTAGAACCAGCAAGTGGTTTGAAAGCCTGTTCTAGCTCACCATTTTCCCCAAAACCATCTTGTTAAAACTTGCCCTCCCAACTGCTCATTGTCCACACTCTCAGGATCCTGGCACAAGCAATCTGCTCCCCGTGCATGAAAAGGTGGGAAGGAGGGTCCTTCCACAACCTTCCATCATGGCCGAGCATAGCAGCAAGAGAGAATTGCCTGGCCAAGAGCAGTCTTCCCTCTCACATCCAGGTTGGACTAGGGGCACCCTGGGGACACATCAGACTCACCCAGGGAACCTTTACCTTCCATTGTCCAAGCTGCTCCTCAAACCAATTAAGTCAAATCTCTGGGGTTGGGACCCAGGCATTCAAATAACACAGTTCACTCCAGGTAGTCCTGTAGTGAATACAGGTTTGAGAGCCGCAGGACTAGAAGGAAATTTGGTGCCTTCTGTCCCCATAAGTCTCTCTGTCAGCTTTGATCAGGATGGAAACCAGACAGCCAAAATCAATGGCCAGAAAAAGGGCTCCCAGGGCTTCCAGGGCTCCCTCACTGGCCTTGGAGTCCTAATCCCAACAGGCAGTCCTTGTAGTGGCTCTGGGAAGAGGCAGATTAGTGCCTCCTCCCAGCTAGGCCTGCTCTGGAGAGCTAGGAGTATCCCGAACTAGAACTATCCCAAACCAGAATTACTTTGGGCATGGAGAAAACCAGTGTCAGACCACTCCACAAAAGAGCTTTGCATCAGAATAATACTTATTATTAATAAACACTTAATAGTATGCCCTTCGAAAGAAATCCAGTTTTCAATTATGAGCCAGACTCTTGTTGGTTGTTTTCATTTTCAGTTCTTCTGCAGGCTTTCTTCGGCAGTGCTAAGAGCTCGGTCTTGCTCGAATAGAAGTTTAGTCTAAAAGAGAAGTTGTATTGTCCCTTCGAAGCTTGGACTTTGGGCTGTCATTTCAGTATCACAGCTGGACTGCCTCGTGGCTCTGTGAACTTGCACAAGCTCCTTCCACTTTCTGGGTTTCAGTTCCTTTCTGTGGAAAATGGAGTAGTGGTACTACTGTCTGTAGAGTCACTATGCAAAATTTACTTTAAGCAAATCAGAGGCTTCACAACTGCCTGCCTCCAGGAGATGTACCCAAAAAATAAAGCAAAGAATCATCTCTCAAAGAAGCAGCCTTCCAGTACTTCCTTGGTTTTCTTAGGGACTTACAGCTTATGTTAGGTTTTCTTTTTTCTTTTTTTTCAGTTTATTTATTTATTGAGAGAGAGTGAGAGAGGGAGGCACCCCAGTGGAGTCTCATCATGTGGTTAACCTCTTCCCCCGGTCCTGTAGCTAGTCAGAATCTTGGGTGCATGCCTGGCATTTTCACGTCAGCCTGGGATCTGAGCCCATGGTTGCTCATGAGGCTTCCAGCATTGCCAAGCAGGATGCTACAACCTGCTCTACCAACACCAGGGCTCCTCATTAATGCCTGGTCTGGCCAATATATCCCATTTCCAACAGTATCTGGTGTCCTAGAACGCTCTTATCTCAGCTTCTCTCTCTCTGTTCCCTCATTGGAAAGCTGGCCTCAGATATTTTCTGGCTTTTCTCTGTGTTCCTCTCTTGCCTGGTGACATAGCTTGACAAAACATTTTGTACCTTTTAAAGTGGTAACTTTTTTTTTAATGTGAGCATCTAGCCCAACATCCAGTGCATAGTAAGTGCTCCAAAACAAGTGGAGAAATGATAAACAACTTAGGGATAAGATAGTCACTGAATAATAACTGTCAGGTGTTGGAGCCAGGTACTTTACAGACATCTTTCTCATTCCACCCTCACCATAACCTTGTCTGCCTCTGTTCATAACGTTCTGTTGTCATACCTGCATTGGGATGGTAAGTGGCCTGTCCAAGATCCTCAGGTATTAAATATCAAAATGAGATTCAAACCCAATCTGTCTGACACCAGAACTGAAGGGCTTAATTACTACCCTATGCTACCAGACCTGACATTTGGCAGAGATATTTTGGCAAAGAGCACACTGGATAAGAAGCGCTTGCTGGTGTGCAAGTTGATTTAACCCTGCAGATGGGCAAGGTGGCTCAAAACCAGCTTCTAATTGTTGACCACTCAGGGAAGACCCATCTCAAGCATCCTAAATCCTTTAGTCAGGACTGGCATTTCAGAGGTCAAGAATGCATTTGTTTTTTTCCTGGACATTTGAGCTTTGATCAGAAATGTCTATCTGCAAACTGTGGTGTGGCCTGTGTCATCCACTACACTGACAAAATATACTTCATGGATCACTGGCCACCAAAGACTTGTATTCACGACACAGCACAGGACAGTCCAATGCTAGCTCATGTGTTTGCTGTGCAGAGAGAGATTAATGGCCATATCCATTCCTCTAGATCAGAGTAGCTTTGATATTCAACTGATGTAGCTTTCAGGTAGAAGTTGGAGAAGTCAAGCTGAAAGTTGATTACACATGTAATATTTTATGAATGGCTTGTGTGTTTAGGAATACCTTCTGAAAATTCATGTGTTTTTTGGTTTTTTTTTTTTTTTTTTTGCCTTCTGAGGTCATTGTGATCAGGTGGAAATCTTAGCAGTTAGAAGCAGAAACCCCTTGGCTCTTCCAATAATTTTATGTGATTACGAGACCAAAATTCCTGGTCCCCCTCTTCTTTCTCTGGAAAACTAAGCACCAACTTGTCCTGGCCAGAATGAGACTTGTGGAAGGACTGAGGATTCTAATGTTTGGCTTCTTTCAATCCAAAAGCCTTTAGACATTTGTCTATATGTTGAGAAGAGGATGCATCCAATATGTTGCAAAAGAGGATAGAGAGGGTACTTAAGGCAGCCTTTAACCTTTCAGGCTTCCTAAGCCCTTCTCTCCATGCCCCAAGCTCACATGTCCCACTAAGGCGTCTACAAGTAACCAGACCCTTTTACATGAATGGCAAATTAGCTGCAGTTGGTTGTTACTGGAGTGTTTGGGGTCCTCCATCCTACTCACTAACCATTATGCCCATGTGATTTTCTGAAGGCCTATAGAGGATCTTTAAGAAAAGCTAAGTGAGGGGACCAGCAGTTAGTGTTATGGCTATGTCGCTGGACTCCCAAGTAGTTGACTGCGGTTCGCGTCCTGGACCCGGTGGCTTAAAACTCACACCAGGCGCGTGTGCGTGTGTGCCCAAGATCCCAAGAGGAGAATGGAGGAGAAGGGATTGCGGCATGGCCATCCCCCCGGGGGGTGATTTCTCACTTTCTGTCTCTATGTCTCTCTCTGTCTGGCGAGTGCATGCGCCCTATAGCAAAAAAAAAACCTCTCCAAAAAAGAAAAAGAAAAAGAAAAGGAGAAAAGCTAAGCGATTGCCACTTTCTCCATCTCTTTCATTTCTTCCCACTGAATGCACATGACTAATAAGTGCCACCATCCAGTGGGGCTCCCACTAACCCACTAACCTGGTTCTATTCCTTGCTGCTGGAAGCTACTGGGAGGAAGAAGTCCAAAAGCATGCAGAAGTGTTCATATAAGCTAAACGCATTACAGGTGTAAGGCATTATTCTTTTGAATTCTAGTAAAATTTATATAAAACAATGTCTCTTTTCTAAATCTACTCTTAACAGCAATCTAATTCTCATTTTATACAACTTTTATATATTACTTTTTTGTTACAGAATGAAGTTTATCTGACGTTAGTACTCTGATTATTTTTTTTAACTCAGAAAGAGTTGTTTTTCCAGTTTAAGTACGAATATCAATGATATTTTACTGGGACTGTTTTAAAATACACTAAGTTGAAGCAAAATATTGACATTTTCGATGTAGGAAAATAGATTGATTTGGAAATTTTCGTGTACCTATAAACTAAATTGTGTAACAGAAGCTGATATGCATAAGGGTACCTAGGATTTTAGCAGTTAGAATTGTTTATGTTTCAATTTTGAATGTTACCCCTGCCTAAGTTAATCAAATATATTCTTTTAAAATGCCATTTTAATATATTCTCATTTTGTTTTTTTCAGGAACAGTATGAATTCTGCTACAAAGTGGTACAAGATTTTATTGATATATTTTCTGATTATGCTAATTTCAAATGAAGATTCCTGCCTTAAAATATTTTTTAATTTAATGGTCAGTATATTTTGTAAAAATCATGTTAATTTATTTCATAGTTGACATTAATAGCCTTCCTAATTTCTTTGTATATATTTTGTTATGCTTTAAAGGTCACCTGCTATAAAGCTCTTAAATGTTAAATACCCTTTTTTAAAATTGGAATAATGTATTAAGGTCAAATAATATGCCATAAAATATATATTTCTGCTAATATCAGTAAATATCTTAATTTTTCATTAGATTCATATCATTTCATTTTACACATTCAGCATATCTAAAGGCTGTAAATCTTAATATGCCAAGTGTGCTTATGCAAAATACTAAACACAAAACTCATTGTTAGTAAAACAGTTGAGAACTCAGATGCCAGCTTAAAATTCACTTTCCTACCCCTGTACAACCTGAGCAACAGCATTGTTTTGAAGGCGAATTGCTCATGAAGATACACTATAAATCGGGAATCTTGTAAACTCTTCAGTCTTAGTCCATGTGCTTTATCTTCACATTTTAAAGATCACAGGATACTTTACAACCTAAATCCAGGTCTATACACATTAGATTAGTTGGTGACTGACTACACAGTAAAGGTTGAACATTCCTAAGTCAAAAACCCAAATACTCCAAAATCTGAAACTTCTTAAGTGCCAACATGATGTCACAGGTGGAGAATTTTACACCAGACTTCATGTCAGAATGCTGCAGTGCAAAACTACTGTATGAAATTACGTTCAGACTATGTGTATACGGTATTTGTGATATACAAATGAATTTTGTGTTTAGTCTTGGGTCGCATTCCCAAGATATCTCGTTAGGTACATGCAGATATTCCAAATTCGGAAAAAGAATCAAAATCTAAAGCGCTCCTTGTCCCAAGCATCTAAGCTATGGGATATTCAACCTATAATATTTCAAAATAGGTTTATGCAAGGCTGTGTCTATAGCATCTTGGCTAGATGAGAATAGAAGTAAATGCTAGAGGTCCGGGTCACTCATGGCCTTGGGTAAGCAAGACCAGCCATCAGAGCTGCACTTGAAAGCACCACTTGCCATCCGTTCATCTATTCTGTTGGACTCACATAATCCTTGCAAAACCACACCGACTGCACTTCTCAGTCTCCCCTCCCCCGTTCTGCCACAGCAACCTGTGCTGGTCGTCTTCTATGCCTAAAGGACCCCAAACCAGCTCTCATCCAAACATTCACAGAAAAGCTGGACGTCTTAGACACACAGAATCAAGGAGCACACATTTGGATAGAAACAGTAGCATTACCACAAGCAATTATAATTTAAATTTTCTGAGAAGCATTTTGGTATTTAAACATTTCTTGTACAAAGCTAAGATTGTTTGTAAGTAAAGAAACATTAAAAATCTAGATTTATACAAATTTTTAAAGTCCCACTCTTCAATGTTTAATTAAAAAAAAAATACAGAGAAATCCTTAATCTAAAGGCTAACTTATTTTTGAATGGAAATACTACTGAGACCTTTAACACTGGATAATAATAATGATCCCATTGTCAGATAGAAATGGCAGAGGGACCAAAAAAAAAAAAAAAAAAAAAAAAAGGGGGAAGGAAAAAAAACAACTCCCATGTGCACATGCTTCCAGGCCCACAGCTCCTTAAACCCAGGTTTCTGTTCATTCTTCTCCAATAAATACCTGCTTCAAATGGGCTTAATTTTCTAGAACAAAGCTCTAACTGCCCTAAAATCTTCAGATTTTTACAGTTCTAGGGGGGAAATGCTATTGAGTAAAGTGGAATCATGAAACCACTGTGTCATTACTGTGAGTCCATCTTTGATTTTATTATTTTTTCTTAAAATTCCATCAAGTTTTATACTTTGAAAACTGTGCAGGAGGTTCCAGAGAGATGAATGATGCCTTCCAAGTGATCAGCAGCAGTTCTTAGGTCTTCGCATGTTTCTGTCAGTGAGGATCCCAATGGAACAATCCATGGATTTGTCTTTTTGTCTCTTTTAGTTTTTTTCAGGGGTTGATTTCTCTCTGTCTTTCTGGTGAGTGCAAGAGCCCTATAGCAAAAACCTTTCTTTAAAAAAAAATTGTTTATTTATTTAATTCCATTTATTATTATTTTTTAATTTGACCAGTGACAGAGAAGAAAGGGAAAGTGAGAAAGCCAGCAGCCAGGTCCAGGTCTAGAACCATGGTCAGCCATATGGGAATCCAGCGCCTTTAACCACCACACCACATGCTGGCCCAGCAAAATCCTCTCTTAAAAAAAAAAAAAAAAAAAAAAAAAAGTGGGGAATGAATGTAGAAACATTTAATTTAATAACAGTTATCTTTCAATGGCCATGGGTAACTAGCAGATGAGCACAATATAAAAAAAGACATGTAGTTTAACTTACTAAAAACATTTAACATGTGCATTTTTTGGTACTTTTTTATTTTTGCTTTTTTTAAAAAAAAAGATGTAAAGATCTAAGGCCTTATTTGACATTTTCACTGATAACTGATTGTGCCCTCCTATTGCACTGTTTACCACCTGCTCATTTAGTGTGTGTGCAAGTGCAACTCCGGGGTAGGTTGTTTTAATATAGGCAATCTAGCTTCTCGCCAGCTCCACTGCCCTGAGCCTCATCCAAGGCTGAGAGTTGGCGCCCAGCTCAAGGACAAAAGCACACTTTGTGACCACTGTCACCACCAGCTGCATCCCTGGGCCCCACACTCTCTCCCTCTGTACAGCGATCAAGCATTTGAGTGGAAGAGGAAAAATGAGAGTTGTTCAAGACTCATCAGTTGGTCCCATTTGGTCTCATTGTTGGAATTCCAAACCCAATAGCTTTTTCTTTGACTAAAGAAAAGAGGTAGATAAGCTTTCATTCAGCACCCAAACCCTAGAAACAGCCCATTTATTAGGTGGAAAGGGAAGTTAATTTGGTCAATTAGTTGAGTTCAAAATTGAGGCCCATGGACTTCGATCTGAATTTAGCAGCCTTTGGTCAGAATCCTTGAAGCCCTTTAATGGTCTACCTGGCATCTCTTGTATCAAGAAGTACTTCTAAGATAGACATTTTCAGGGGTGTCCTTGGAAAAATGCTCTGCTTATGTGTTTTCCCTGTCCCCTTGGGCCACCCCGCCATGTTCATCACTGGGATTCTGTCTGTTCTCAAATCTTTCTCATTCCAGAAACAAAGCAGAAGCCACTGTACTTGGGCGCAGCCCCTCTTTCCTCCCCAGTCTGAGGGAGCACCGGCTCTTCAGAGAGGTCAGCCAGTGTAGTCTGAGGCCTCTGCCCAGGTCCCAGTTCACATAGTCTCCCTGAGCCTCACGCAGCTGCCTGGGAGGAAGTAAATAGCCAGGGCGGGGGGCTCAGTATCTTCTCTGTCAAGACTGGAAAGTTTCTCTCTTCTTTCCTTTAGTCAAAGAAGGTTTGTTGTACATAACAAAACAGCCCAGTACTGACCGTGTCACTTTTCCTTTCACATTTTTTTTTCTATGTTGCATGCAGTTGCATTCAGATGCCAAATAGTGATTAGAAGACAACCATTCTGATCTATGTTTTATTGGTCACTATGTGACTTAATTTACTGTTTATCTCCATGTGCTATAAGAATGAAGAATGCATACCAGTGTTTTAAAAGGTATTTTTAATGTGTTTTTTAAGACTTTTTAAAATGAGCCTGACACCTGTGTTTTAGCATTTGGAGACATGCCCTTTTTTTTTTTTTTTTAATTTATGATTACTGATACTTTTTTTGTTTGTTTAACTAAGTTGTGTTTAATTTATGTACAATCTTTATAATACATTATGTATTACAGTTTCAACTATCATATTTTCTTTTATTACATTTATAATTTGATCTTGCTCTGATTATAATGCCAGTGAATGTTGCTGAATTCTTTGTATATGCAAATTGCAAGATCTAAAACATTCTGATGCAAGCATAAACCTTCACACTGACCACCAGCCTGCGTCTCTTTTTTCACATTTCTTCATTTCATTCCTGTGCCTTAAGTCCTTTGAGACATTCATTGGGAAGTGAGAACTGGTTTACATATATAATTTATTTTAAGACTTTCACAATTTAGCTTCAATCAGGGCCAGCCTATGGCCTGGTGGTTAAGGTGGCTGAATCCCACATGGCCAATTATGTGATTTGAGTCCCAGACCTGGCAGCTTGGGAAACATGCTGGGCACATGTGTGTGTGTAAGAAATGAAAGAGAAGGAATTGCTGCATGACCATGCCCCCTAGGATGCTTTCTCCCTTTTTGTCTCTGCCTCTCACTCGCTCAAATGAGCTCATATGCCCTCCGCCAAAAAAAAAAAAATCGTTTTTACTTTAGCTTTAACTGGGGGCCAGCAGGTGATGTGGGGGTCAAGGCTGGACTCCCACGTGACAGACCACAGTTTGAGTCCCAGATCTGGTGGCTTGAAAACCACTCCTGGTACATATGTGTGCATGCCCAAAATCCCAAGAGGAGAGTGGAGGAGGAGGGATTGTGGCATAGCCATCATTCCAAGAGGTGATTTCTCACTTTCTCTGCATGCGCCAAAAGAAAACAAGAAAGAAAAAAAAAAAGAAGAAAAAGAAAGGAAAAGAGAAATTTAGCTCTAACCAACCATGGAAACAGCCCCTAAGGTGTGAGTGGGCATGGTGACCAGTGAGCCCTGCTCTCAGCTGTGCAACACAAGGCAGGAGTTATACGTGAAGCACAGAGTAATAACCCCCTCCCCAGGGAGGCTGTATTCCTTCTCGAATCCAATGATGTCCCAGAATTTGTGAGGAAGATAATGCATGCTTTGAAATCCAAGCCAGGTAGAATCTGAAAGCCCATCTAACATTGCTTTCCTTCTTAAAATCTAAAATGTTATTAGGCCTAGCTTTGCTCACCTTTCTCCGGTACACATTTTTATGTCTCTGATAATCCCCAAGTTTCTCCCTTGACAGCCTTTCACTCTTGCCTCCCGACCTCAGTCCATGGTCCAGTTTTCTATTTTGGATGTTCCAGGCCTAATGTGGAATTTAAACATACTCTTTTTATTATTTCATGTATTTATTTAAATTTTCTGAGCCTTGTTATATTTGCTTAAATGAATGATGAGGACATCTTTTTTTCTTCTCGAAAAACAGAAATAATCACCTTCAATGAAATAATGTCTGCTGCGGTGGGTCCTTTATTTCTGGGTTTCCCTTTATGGGTCTGTGAGCCTTTTGTTCCTTCTCAAGCAAGCAGCACCTGTCTCTCGGTATGGTCAGGGCCCATCCTCTGGGCCTAAGCAGATCTAGACACACAAAGGGGAGTCACATCTTGAGGCAATGGGAAGGGGAGGAGGGATCAAAGGAAACACAGGAAAGATAGCTGCATGCACTTAAGGCCCAGCTACTTGGAGAGGCTGAGTCAGGAAGATCTCAAGATCAAGGTCAGCACAGACAACAGAGTAAGATCCTATCTCTGGGGCCAGCAGATGGCGTAATGGTTACATCACTGGACTCCTACATAGTTAACTGCAGTTTGAGTCCTGGACCCAGAGGCTTAAAACTCACATCAGGTGCGTGTATGTGCATACCCCAAAACCCGAAAGGAGACTAGAGGAAAAGAGATTGTTGCGTGGCCTTCCCCAAGAAGGGGATTTCTTGCTTTTTGTCTCTACCTTAGAAGACACTTAAGATCTGTAAAGAGGCAAGCACTAGGCAAGCCTCAAATGATGCCTCCATCAAGTGGAAATCCACAAGCAGGGCACTGCAAGCTAAGGGGCCTCGGGGAAGAGGAGCAGGACGGCCAGTGGCTCTGACCACGTGTGTGCTTCTCAGCAGACTGATGTGGCATCATCAGCGTTTGAGGAACTCATGGGGAGGGGGATCAAGGCATTGCCCCAAACCTGAGTTCTGTAGCTAGGAGAGCCAAAAGGGGTACAGACCACCACAGGGTACCCTACCACTCTGCCTGCCACCTCTAGCCAGACTACAGGGCCCCTGATAATGGTGAATTGTGTCCCTCCAAACTTACAGGCTGAAATCCTAACCCCCAGTACCTGAGAATGTGACCCTGTCTGAAAATAGGGCCATTACAGATGGAATAACTAAGATGAGGTTATGTAGAGTGGGGTGGGCCCCTAGTGCAATATGACCACATCCTTATAAAAAGGGAAAATTTGGGCACAGAGAGACACACGCAGAACATCCATGTGAGGAAACAGGCAGAGAGTCGAGTGATGCTTCCACCAACCGAGAAAT